AGACGTCTCCACGAGGCCTTCGGTCGGCTCCCAAGAAGCACCCGAGAGGCTTTTAGGGGGCCCCACAAAGTTTCGAAGTCAGCCTCAGACGCTCCTGGCCGTCGCCATCGTAGCCCCGACAAGCACTAAGGGGCGTCATTTCTTCCACATCTTCCCCCCCCGTGCTCGTCCTTTTGTTCTTTGTCGTCCTCCTTCCCATCCTCCCCTACTGTCCTCCTAGTCTTCCCTCCCGTCGCCCTTATCCTCTCCCGCCGCCTCCCACTCGTCATCCTCGGTGTTCTCCTCCTTTTTGAGGGCCCCGTCCTCCTCCTCAGCCGCGTCCTCCCGTTTTCCCCGCCCTATTCATTCACGTTTTCCTCGTCGTCCACGTTGCCGTCCTTCTACCCCGCCTCGTCGACCTTGTCGTCCTCCTCCCCGTCGTGCTACTTCTCCTTGTCTTCATCCCCCTCGTCCCTCTGCTTGTCTTCCTCGTCGTAGCCTTCCTGGTCCTCGTCGCTGTCCCATCGTCCCCCGCCCTGTCTTCCTTTCCCCGTCGTCGTCCTTACTCCCCAATTTGGCTTGCGTAAGAGGTTCTTACTCGGTGAAAGGTTGGTACCTCGGGGAGCTACTTTGCCCGTTGCTCGGAGGTTGTTCGGGTCCCTTGGGTTCCTCGTTGTTCGGAGGTTGTTCGGGTCCCTTGGGGTCCCGCGGGTTTGCCAAGCAATGCCAAGCCATGCCACGCAATACCAAGCAATGCCAAGGAATGCCAAGCAATTTCAAGCCATGCCAGGCAATGTCAAGCAATGCCAAGCAATGCCAGGCAGTGTCAAACAAAGCCAAGCCCTGCGCCCATGTAGTAGGACGTTTTTCCCCACTTGGGGTCGCGTCGGGTGCATTTTCATCCCCCAATTCGTTTGGCTTGCGTAGGGATCTCTGATGCGTTTTTGAAGAAAGCAGGAGCGTTTCTCGGCGTTCCTTTGTTTACGCTTTTGCAGGAGCGTGCCTCGGGTTTCCTTGGTATTGTTTCCTCACGGTGGCGTTCCTCGGCTTCCTTGGTCTTGCTTCTCTCCTCTTGGTCTTGTTTCCTTTGTTCCATGGTTCCTTCGGCTCGGTTTCTTGGGCTTGGTTCCTTGATTATTGTCGTGGCCTCTGGCCAGTGCCGCCGATCCGGGGCGTTCCGGATGATGATGATGATGATGATGATGATGATGATGATGATGATGATGATGATGATGATGATGTTGATGCTGATGCTGATGCTGATGCTGATGCTGATGCTGATGCTGATGCTGATGCTGATGATGCTGATGTTGATGCTGATGCTGATGCTGATGCTGATGCTGCTGATGTTGATGCTGATGCTGCTGCTGATGATGATGATTATGATGCTGATTATGATGATGCTTATGATGATGATTATGATGATGATTATGATGATGATGATGGTGATATTGATGGTGATGGTGATGATGATGATGATGATGATGATGATGATGATGATGATGATGGTGATGTGACGCTGGTGATTGTGATGGTGATGGAGATGGTGATGATCCGCCCCCCCCCCCTCCTCTCTCCTGACCCCCCCCTCTCTCTTGTCCCCCCCCCCCTCTCTCCTGTCCCCCCCCCTCTCTCCTGTCTCCCCCCCCTTCTCTCTCCTGTTCCCCCCCCCTCTGCCCCCCCTCTCTCCTGTCCCCCCCCCCTCTCTCCTGTTCCCCCCCCCCCTCCCCTTCGCAGAGCGTCCATCTGCAAAGCGGACCCTCCCGCTTTCCCTGCAGCTCCCGCTCCCGCCTGAGAGGGCCCCCCCCCTTTGCAGCCCCCCCCCTTGCAGAGCGCGCCCCCCCCCCCCCCCTCTCCTGCCCTCACCCTTGCAGAGCAAAACTCCGGGGGGGGGTCCGGAATCGATGGGGGGAGGCTAGCAGGGGGGGGAGGTGCCAAGCACTGAATTCGACAGTTAATGAGACCCCCCCCCCCTCCCCCCTTCCCAAGCAGAGCTAAAGCTCATGCTGAAGCAGAGCTTCAGCTTAGACTTCCTAAACTCACACGCCGGATCGGCGGATTTGGTGTTGTTTTCTTGGTTTTGGGTTTTGTGTTTCTTGGTTCTTGGTCTTGGCTCCTTGGCCTGTGTTCCTTGAATCCTTGGTGTGGGTTTCTTAGTTCCTTGGTCTTGGTCCCTCGGTTCATTGGTATTGAGTACTGAGTTCTTGCTGCCTCGCCAGGCAATGCTAAGCAACGTATAGCACTGTGACGCAACGCCAAGCAATGCCAAGCCAGGCCACGCAATGCCAAGACATGCGCCGCAATGCCGAGTAATACCAATGCGTGGCAAGCAATACGCCAATCAATACGCCAAGGAATGCCACGCAGCGCGCCCGTGCAATAGGAAGCGTTCCACTAGTCTGGGATCATGACGGGTGCATCTTCGTCACACGCACCGGGTTGAATCAAGTTGCGCTTCCTAATCTTGCCCAGTCAGGTTTCAGGGATACCATCTCAGAGCTTCGGACACCAGGACGTTGCAAACCAGATCTCTGCCAGATCGAGCGGGGTTGAGAACGAAGAGTGGGGGACGTTCAGACCTACGGCTGCAGTTCTGTCGGGCATGCCGACTTCCTGGTTTTATCAACGAGTCAGCGTATGCGGGACCCAGACCTTCGTCGGATCCGCTAGGTACAGTCGAACCGCATGGTAGGGATGGGCACCCTTCCCCATGGTATCCTTGCATCCTTGCTTCCTTGGCCCATCCTTGGTCACTTTTCTTGGCCGCGCCCCGCTCGGAAAGCTCTGAAATGGCCTTCCAAGACCCTTTGTTCCTTATCGCGCATCCTGACTGTTCGTGCTAACCGTACGCAACCCGCGGGAGCCCGAGGTGAATCGCGATTCGCGCCTCGCGGTCTGGGCCAGAGCGGCTGCCCTTCTCCACGGGGGGGCGCCGCGGAGGCGCGATGGCGCGACAGCTCGTGGCCTTCGTCGGCGCCTCGCGGGGCGCGGGGCGCGATGCGTTCGGCGACCTCCGGCCGGGTGTCAGGCTTTGGGCCGCACTCCGAGCGTGCCCCGTCGCTTGCGGCATGCGCACCGCGCTGCCAGCGCAACTGCCAGACGCCCATACGAAGAGTGTCCGCTCGCGGGCGAGGCGCATCGCGCGACCGGCGTGGTCGCCGAGGAGGCGCTCCTCGACTCGACTCGTCGGGGGGCAGTGCCCCCGGGGGGGCCCGCGCCGCAGCGAAAGAACGGGAGGCCCCCCCACGGGACCATTCGCTAGCAAGTCATGGGGGCCTGGTAGCACCCCTCTAGTTCTGTCTTTGGCGCCGATTGGCGTCGATTGGCGTCTGGGAGTCGATGAGGCAGCGCCGATTCAGCGTCGGTTGGCGTCGAGAAGCGTCGATTATGGCGTCGATTCGCGAGAGGCGACACGACGGTGTGGGAGGCTCCCGTGAGTTGCCACGGAACAGGGGGGCTTTCGCCGCATCGAGCACGGGAGGCCTCCCCCGGGGACCAGCTCTTCCGGAAAACGGCGGCAGCCTCGGGACCCGTTTTTTCTCAGGGCCCGTCTGCTTCACGGGGATCTTGCCCTCCTCTTAGGTCGCAGGCCTAGTTGTTGCAACACCAACATTGACGGTGTGCCTCCACGGAGGGGAGCAGATCCCGATCTCGGTGACGGTGGTAATATTCGGGCTTCCAAGGTGACCGACATGTTACCACCAACACCGAAATCTAGGATCATTTTCCCCTTGTGGAGGCCACTCCCTGTGTTGGTGTTGGTGCCCATGTCCAGGCCTTTAATCTTACGTAATCGTCGACTGTCAAGTTCATTGGCGCAAGTTAATGTTTTTACCAGCCTCGAACATATCCCTATCCCTAAGATTGACACGCCAAAAGGCTACGACAATCGTAGGGATTCGCCCTCAAAAAATAAGGGAATCCCTAAGATTGGCATCGTGATGAGGAGGTGCCCAGCATAGGGATAGGGATATGTTCCAGGCTGGGAATGTTTGGCGACGCCGACCCCCCAACAAGCCCCAGATGCGACATACTGAGATGGGTGGTTTCTATTTTGGCGACGGTTCCATTCGTGAGCCACTGAGTGCCTCGGTGTGCGATCGAGATTTGGCAAGGGCTGGCATCATAGCTGCTCGCCAGCGACAACCCACTTTTCGCATGGTTTCATGTGGTGGTGGCGTCGTCAACAACTGCCCCACGGAACAAACGAAGCGACGCATTAGACCGTAGGAGTATAGAGAAAGACGTGGCGGAGGTTCTTCACCGTTTTCAGCCTCTGGAGGCCTTGGCCTGGGCCGGGTACCGTCAAAAACAACTCAGGATCATCTGGTCCCCGAGGAGGGGTCGAGACTTCAGGGGACCTCGAATCGAGGCTTCTAGAATCTAGAACAACATCGGATCTCTTGGTGTTTTTTTTTTGATTCGTTGTTTTGCCGATCGGCGCGGGCCCTCGCACCCCCCCCCCCTGGAGTGGATCCTGGCTGTTTTTGGCGCCTGTTTCGAGCACGTGGAGTCTCTCCCCCATAGGACGGTCCCAAACTGTCGCACTAAGCACAGATCCGGAGCCAGACCTGTCCTCCTCCCCCTTTCCGCCCAATGTCGAAACGCCGAGTCAAAAATCAGATCACTTGGGGATTTGCCCAAAATCACCGCCCTGGGGGTCGAGCCTCGGGGACCTCGGCAGGCGGTGGACTTGGAGATCTTCGGGCCCTGGAAGGGCCGCATCTGCCCATTCACCGCCTCTGGTCAAGGGAGGAAAAACCATCTAGACCCCGACAGATGGCGTGTACTAAACGGCCCTGGGCGTGTACTCAACAGCCCTGCCCTGTTCGATTCCTCCCTTGGGGGCGTTTGCTGAACGGCTTCGCTTGTCGGGGTGATTCTCCTGGGGGGTGGATTTTCTGCCCTCGACTTGTGTCTCAGGACGTCGGTTCCCCAGGCGGTGGATCTGATGTAGATCCTGCTGGCCCAGTGGCCGGGCCGTGGCCGGAGAGCTCGCGCGCCCGCGCCGCGGGCCAGAGGTCCTCCGTGGAGGACGAGGCCCGGGCGCTCGTTACGCTCGGGGGCGTCGGCGAGGACGAGGCGCAGGCGCGCGCCTGCTGCCCCCCAGGGTCTGGGCAGCGGTGGGGCGGGACGTCGAGCAGTGGCGAAGAGTCCTGGCTTGCGTGTAGGACCACCAAAGAGTGTTCTAAGATCTTTAGGTGGGGTCTGCACGACATGTGCTTAGAACATTTCTGGCTGTGGCCGCCTTGGTTTAGCACATCGTGTTTACGTTTTGAGAAAGTATTTGTTGCTCTTAGAGCACTTGTGGGTTCTGAGGACATGTCGCTGCAGGCCTATAGGAATGCCGGGACGGTCGGGCCCTTCGCAAGGACAGGTTCAGGGGTGGATAGGCTTACACTTAAGCCCGGCGTGTCCCTTTACAGGAGGAATATTCAAAAATAGTCCAACATTTTCCTGGCGGAGGGCCCAACAATGTGCAGTTGTGAGTAACGCGTTGTGGGTGCCGCTTCCGGCGGGCCACGCAACGCGTGCTGGGGCGTGCCTTAATGGGTGGGGGGGGAGGCATGCGGGCACCCCCACTGGGACCTTCGGTGGAGCTCCCTATGGAGCCACGACACGCTGTAGTGGGTTGTGGATACGCATGCAGGCAGTGCTATTGGGGCCTTCGGTGGAGCCCCCATATGGGACCACGATTCGCTGTACTGGGTGGGGGGGACGCATACGGGCGGTTCCACTGGGACCTTCGCTGGAGTCTCTCTGGGGCCACGAAGCGCTGTACTGGGTGTGGCGGACGCATGCCCAGTGGGCCTTCTTTGGAGCTCCTTGTGGGGCCACGAGGCGCTGTACTGAGTGTGGCGGACGCATGCGGACACCCCCGCTGAGGTTTTTTTAAGCTGTGACCGGGCTCGCGCAGCACGAGCTCAGTCTGTAGCGGCCGGACAGCGGCGGCCGCGGCTGGCGGCAGGCGTAAACCCAGGGGAACCGAGCGGCAAAGGGACGAGCAAGCCAAAAAGGCCGACTCGTGGCCGTCAGCTTAACCCCCAAACATCACCGAGCCTGCGCAGCCCGAGCTTGATCCTTTCGACCTTCCCGAGGCGATGCTGCAAACCACGAGCGCTCTCTGGTAGCTTGCATGCTGCGGAAAAGCCTCTGTGCTTGCCTTCGGTAACTCACGCATAGCAGTGACAGCGCGTGCAAATGCGACATTCAGAGGTGGTTGTGAGAACATGCTCGCCGCTCGCCACTCTTGGAACCCCTGTGCCATCACTAGCGGACGACGACGCAGCGAGGGGGCCAGACGGGCACTCGAGGGCCACCGAGCGAGACCGATCGGGCGAGCTCGAGCGGCGAGACGAAACTAAACAACCTTGCGAGGCAACCAGGCTGCTGGCAGCTCCGCGAACACTAGACAAATCGGCGGGAGCACTCTCGCCGCCGTGGGCTCCGCCCAGGGCTTCCGCAGCGGGGCTTGGGGGAGACCTGAGGAGCTCCGAAGGGAGAAGCGAGGCAGGCCCATCCTCAAAACTCGCGCCACCAGCAGAACCCAGTCCACACGGGTCTACTGTAGCGGGGCCCACGGGAGCGCGCGTGCAAGGTCCGACTGGGGCTTCTGCAGCAGGGCCTACAGGAGCCTCTCTAGCACTGGCAACAACTTTTCAGTCGATGCCGAGCGCACAAGCCCGCTCGAGCTCGCTCCAGAAGCTGCCGATAACAGGTAGTCGATATTCTGCTGGGCTGTCTTGAGAACCTTGGTTAGCAGCAGTAGCCTCAGCAGCTGCCGCCTCCCGTTCGGCCTGTGCCAGCGTGGCGAAGGCCGCCGCCGCAGCGGCCGCCGTCGCCGAGGCTGCTCGGGCAGGTCGCTTCTTCGAAGTACTGCCAGAGTGCGACGGGGCATGCGGCTTGGGCATGCAAGGCTTGACCCAGAAGTGCGCTTTGATGTTGCTGCTGTACCCGGTTTTGAGGCAGCGCAAGCAGTCAATGTCACTATTCGGGACCTCGATGACCTCGTGAGCCGTGAAAAACAATTGAATATTGCTGGCCTGTTTCGTGACCTTCTCGTCCGAGATGCCAGCTCTGCCATCGGCAGCCATGCCGCCAGCAACCGAAATCCAGAAAAACGCGGCGTCGAGCATGGTCTCCCTCGCCTGGGTGATCTGCCGAAAGGCGTCGGGAGCGCCGGCTTGAGCAGCAATGGGCTTGGCACGCCGATCAGCTTCGATGTTGCCTCTGCGGGCTCTAGCCGTGACCGGGCCCTCTTGCGCGCGCTGAGCAGAAGCGTGCGTTTTGACTTTGGTAACTGCGAGGCCGTCTACGCCGAGCCCCCCGAAGTCCTGCACTGCATGCCGGGCGCGAACCCACAGCTCCGCCCGGGCAGCCTTGCTGCTCGCCCTGGCCTCGGGGCCACGAATCTTGATACCATCCACCGCAAACTCAGAGTCAAAAAGAGCTGCCACTGGTGGAATGGTGTTCTTGAGAAGCAGGAGCAGCGCCATGGGCTCGCCGCCGTCAATGGACTGCAAGGCGCCAGGCAAAGGGGAGGCTAACGCGCGCGTGGCAGACCTTGGCCCAGGGTCGATGTGATCGCCGCCGCTAGGCAGAGCAATGACGGCACATCCTGCACGGGCAATCTTGGTGCCACCGTCGATGGATGCTCGATCTGCGAACAGGTCGGGCTCTGCGAACGGCAGGCCCTCGCCGTTGCCCTTGACCCGCTGCGCGCGCGCCAGGAAGTCGCCACCTGGCGGACTCCACTGCGTGAGCGGCTCTAGCAGCCACAACCTCTCGAGCAGAGTCCTGATCATGATTGATCCGCGCTTGCCCTTGAAGCGCCCCAGCTCCTCTGGAAGGGCCAAGGACGGCCAGGCGCCATGACGCCCCGTGCGCCCGTGCCAAAGTTTCCCATCTTGACGGGGCATAGCGAGCAGACCGAGTAGGAGCAGAGGCCTGCCGCGCAGCGCCGCTCGTTGAGCCACCTGGCCGTCGACCAGGCATGATCTGGCGCACCCGGCTTCACTGGGCGTCGACGTCCTCCAAGCCTTAGCGACCTTGGTGGGGCCCGGGCCCAGCGCGGCCCGCCGCCTGACCTGCGGCGGGAAGACTCCGCCAGCACCGTGGATGTCGCAGCGCGTGCTCTTGGCCAGCAGAGCCAACTGCCACCGCTCGGCGCCTCTCGTGACAATCTGCTTGGCCGCCCAGGGAGAGTGCACCGCCAAGCTGAGCTTCTCGCCCGCGTCGGTGACCCAACCTGCGAAGGAGCTGAGCGTGAGCCCTATCCTCTGCAAGGACGTCGCTGCTGCTCCGAGCGGGCCACGCGCGTCGCCCCAGTGCTTGGCGGCCCTCGCGTTCCGCTCGAACGTAGACTGCAAAATTGACGTCGGGATCCACTTCTCCCGCGCAGCCTTGGCCAGCATCATGGCAGGCCCCAGCGTGGCAGTGAATATGGGGTCCAATGTCTGGCCCCCCGAGAGCATCAGCATTGCGGTGGCATTATTGCCTGCTGGCCGTGGCTCCACGGCTCTGACTGTGATGGGGCGCATCCTGGACAACTCGCTGGGGTTGAGGCCAGTGCAGCTGGCGCCGTGCATCGCCGAAGGATGGAAGCCTGTGAACGCAATCTTGGCTGCGGCAGCGCGCCCGCGCCCCAGGCCCAAAATGCACCGCGCCTTGCCGAGGCGAAGCTCGACGTTGGCGAGGCGTTGCTGCCGAAGGGCCCGAGCTGCACGTCGCCCTTTTGCATGATCGATGCCCAGGTTGCGCGCGCGACGAGCCGCTGGGGCCCCAGCAATCTTGAGCAAACGCCTCGATACGTTGCCGCGCGAGCCTGGTGGGCTGCCCGTGACCTTAGACTTCTTGACCGCGATCTTGAGCTTAAAATTCTTCAGCTGCTGCACCAATTGCGCTGGCAGCGCCCGCGAGCTCGCCCTGCGCCCGCTTGGTGCCGCCCCAGCGCTGGAGCACCAGGTCGTCGACCACGATGGCTGGTGCGACGGCCCCGGGCCGCGCGACCATCTCGTCGAGCGGCTGCAGCAACATGAGCTTCATGAAGCCCGTGGCGAAAGCGACCCCGACGCGCACCGTCTGGAAGACCTGCAGCTCCTGCGAGCAGGACCCGTCGAGGTGAAGAACACTCGGGCGCACGGTGCAGAGAGAGCTTGGCCAGCGAGGGCGGAAAACCGTACTTGATGGCTGCCTGCGCGAGGCACCGATGCGAGACCTGCTCGAATGGCTTCCACAGGTCCAGCAGAATGCTGGCAGAGGCCCAGTCTTGATCGGGATGAAGATCGGCCATCGTCGCAATCAACTCGGATCTCGTCTGCTGCTGCCTCACCGCTCTGTCGCATGAGCGCCCTGAGCACGGCCACCAGTAGGGCCTGTCACTGGCCTTCTCCCACTGCAGCATGGTGGGTCTGCGAAGTCTGCCCTGGACCCTGACCACCGCGGCCAACCACGCGATGGGTCGACGGCCTCCGTCTGCCTTGGGGACGAAGGCCATCTTGGTGATGAAGTTGGGCCAATCTGCTTGCTGCTCGATAGCCACCAGCAAGTCAACGATGGCCTCGATGCCGGGGTCATCCATCATATTGAATTCACTTGGACGAATGCTGTCAGAGTTGAACCCAGACTGAGGCTTGAAAGACGAGACCACTTTCCGCAGCTCAGCCACAGAAGGCCTGTCGGGGCGCTCTCCGAGGTCCTCAGGCAAAAGCTGGCGATGCCTCCCGGGCTCGGGCTCTCTCGAGGCCTTCGCAGCTGCGTCAGGAAGCGTAGCCTCGCTCAACAGCGGGGGATTGTGGCTGCGTCGGGGAAGGTCCCCCTTTTCGCATCCAACTGTTGGTTCAGCCTCATGCGCGCCGCCACCTGCTGCCTGGACTGGCAGGGCCTGGGGGGGCGACGATGTCACAGTAAATGCACCACTCGTCGACCGGCGCCTGCAGGCTCTGCTGAATGGTGAGCGGCGCCAGACCAGGTGCGTTGGCTGGCTTCGCATTCCAAGACAGAGCCGTCTTCGTGACAGCATGGGTGCCGCCGGAGCCCGTAGCGGCAGAGTGCAGCACCCAGTCGTTGTAGTTCTTGGAGGCTTGACC